GGAGGAGGTGGCTTCCACGGACTTCTCGATGATCCAATACCTAGAACGTTTCGGTGGCTATGGACAGTTCAAGGAGCTGGGTCTGATCCAATATGCCCTTGCACACGTTTGCGATGCCCTCGCCCATTCGGATCTGAATGGGGCACGCGACTTTTTGGCATTGCTGATGGTTGGTGTCGACCAGGCAACCTTAGATGGGAACCGATGGGAGCTAGCATACAGAATGATGCTGTTGGAAGAACCTCCTTCTCAGCTATGGAGCTACAGGAATCAGAGCTTCGACCCTCGAGCAAAGAGTTTCTCGGCTTTGGCTCCCCAAAATTGGACAACCGTTGCTTTGGCTTATTCCAAAGAAATGGACTACATCCAGACCAAGCGCCTGGAAGTGACCCAGCAGAAGGGAGGGAGCCAGACTCCAAACCAGCAGCAGACTCCGATCACTCAGCTCAGGAAAAAGGGTCGCTTCCCGAAGGCAAAGGCGGCGTCAAATCAGGAGCATGCTGCCTCCTAGCCTCGATTGGCCCTAGTGGCCTAGTCTTCCCTCCCAGTACCCTTTCAGGCCCTCTCTTGCCGAGTTCTTCTATGTCAGAGCGCTTCGGTGCTTTACACGGTCGGAGAGCCCTGGGAAGGGGAAGTGAGGATGAGAGGCGGGAGGCCATAAACTATGAGGGCTCGGATAGCCCGCCTGACTTTTTGGATGGATCAATGGCAGACTATGATGGCATGCCATTTGAACACCCAGGGTGTATGCCAGCTGCCGATGGTGTGAGTTCAGGACCCAGTCACTGTCATGAGCCCGACGATGATGTGGGCCTGCAGGATAGTGGTGCTTCCGAACTGGGCAGGAGAAAATTAGATGCAAAGGGACTTAGGTGCAAGCCGGGCTCGGTTTTGATGACTCAGGTCCCGGTATGTTGTTGGAGCCTTCAGCTAGTGAGACAGGTGCTTGCATCCAAGACCAAACTTCCCTATTTTGTGATGAGATTATTTTCAGCCTGCCGCAGTGGTCATCCTGACTTCACTGCAACCGCCTTGTACCCCATCCCATTTCCTTTTAAGGATGGTTTTGGTGATGGCCTGGATTTGAGCTACAAGAGGAGAAGGGGCCTGGGGGCTCTTCATCGCCTGGTGCATTTGACCATTGTGGCTATGAATTACAAGAACCCCATGCTCTTTATGTCTATTTTGCAGCTCATTCAGAGACGTCCTACGGTGGCCCGCAGAGGCGTGTTCGGCCGGTTGTGGATGTTTTTCAAGGCGAGCGGCCTTCCAGCATTTGTGTCGGTGGCTGGATGTGGACGGAAAGGTTTTCAATTAGATGCAAGAATGAGGGAAAGTGTTTTGACTTTGGAAGATCATGGTCTTAGTCCACCTTCTCTCCCTCATCATAAAGTGGCTTGCCAAGAAGCTCCTGAAGAGGATGGAGCCTATGAGGAGCTTCAACTATATCGGCCGCCTGATGTAGCTCGGACCAAGCTCAATGATATGGGTAAGTGGAAGAGCACCATATACCCTTTCGGTCTTCCCTATCTGTCCTTTGTTGAGCCCGAGTCAATTTGCTTTGATGCTGCTCCTCCCTCTAGTTTTCCTGCCACTGCACTGGAGGGATATGTGGAGCAAGTGCCGGAACTATGTCGAATGTGGGCTGGTCATGGCATTTGGCAGATGGCCCCTACACCATGGGTCCTGGAGGACAACAGATCTTTTCTGCACTCGAGAGGTTTAGGGTACCTTGAGAATGCCGAGGATGACAGTCAAGTAGGAGATTGGCGAGACAGAAATGATGATGAAGAAAGGCTGCTTAGGGGTCCTTCTCGTGATATTACTAGAAATGCCGCAGTCTTGCAGCTTGAACTTCCTTGCTTCGAGCTTGTTTTGCTTGGGGTTATAGCAGACAGACGTGAGGTCTACCTCCAGACTGCGACTACATACAAGCATTCAGCAACCAGTACTGTCTCTCCTGTTTTCGGTCCAGGGGGCCCCGACAATACAAAGACCATCCGAAATTCTCAAGTCGGGGCTGGAACCATGCACAAGAAGGACAGAGAGGAGCATGAAGACGACTTGGGTGTGCCAACCCCTTTCTCTGCTTTTTGTGATGGAGACCTCCCGGATTATGTGGCTGTTGTTGTCATATATCAAGAGGACCAGGTGATTTTTGGGATGACTGGCCGTGTCCCTGAGATAATGGCTGAAGAAGCGGGGTGCAGCCCTAGCTGGAGCAGATTAGGCTCATTGCATTTCATCTTGCATAGTCATCCCGCAGCGGCTGTCCTGCTTGGTAACTCCTCCTGCCTCTCGTCCGAAAGTATTGAGATCACAAATGCTCTCTTCTGCAAGAGTTTGCGCCCAGAGGTGAGCTCCACAGGAGAGGTGGCAGGTAAGGGCACGGTGCCCCTGTCTCGCAGAGCTATGGAAGAGTTTTTGACCTTGGCTCGTCCTGGACCTTTGGGGGCCTCCTACGATGCTGCTTCCCCTACGGTGTCAATTTTTGCATGGGATGCATTCGTGCTGAGAGGAGTTTTTGTGAAAGCCAAGGTGAGTGAGAGCCCATCCAGAACTCTCTGGCGGACTTTTAATGAAGATGGCAGGAACCCATGCCTCCGAAGCCCCATCAGGGCTGTTCGCAGGGTTTATGACAAAAGCTATAAGAAGCTGGGTGGTGGTGAGTTTTGGGCTACCGTCCTATCTGAGGTAAGCAGGTCGATTGGATCTTATTTTGGGTCCAAGAAGGTCAGTGGAGGTGCTGGCGTGATGACCCTAGCGCTGTGCGGGCTGGGAGTGGGCTGTGGGCCCGTCTTTGACATCGGTTTTCCGATGGGGCTCTATGTCTGCTATCAAAGAGGCTTTGCATGGTTGATTTTTAGTTGCCACAAGGAGAGAGTACGATCCTTCTTCGATGCTCCTCCCTGTACTACCTTCGGTACGGCTGCTTATCCCTGGTTGGGAACCTACACACAACCACTTGATTTTGATCTTCGGCATCCTCGAGTAGTTTGCGGAAATGGTAATGTTCTCCCATTTCTGGGATGGCTGGTAGCAGGAAAAGGGGTATGGTTTCCAGGCAAGATGAAGACTCCTAGGAGATCAACGCTCCGGAGAATGCCTCAGTGGGAGTCTCTATGTCTCTTGGGAGCAAATGATATGCACCTTGATTCTTTTGCATATGGCCCAATCCACCAGAATGATTTTGTGCGGATCAGTGCCGTCATGTACGTCAAGGGGATCGAAAAGCATTGCCTAACAGACCACAGGCATGTCCGAATCAAAGGCAAATCCACCACAACAAGTGATGCCTTCCGACATGGGCCAACAGTTGTATGGGCTAAAGTCTTTGTAGCTCTTAGTCCGGCAGTTGAAGGGGCCCATGAAGCAAATCAGGGACCGGGAGGAGCTGAAGATGCACGCTCAGAGGAGTTCCTCCTGCTTTCCTTTTGGAAGGTCATTGCTGGTTGGGAGAGGACAGGCTCCGCATACATCGGCCTGCTAGAGATCAGGTGGGTCATTTCTCTTCTGAAGTGGAAGAAGTGGATTCCAGTTTGGACCATGCTAGGTCTGCAACTTTGTACTCCCTGCTCTGAGTCCCTTACAGGTCTCCACTTTGCGAGATGCTATGGGCCTCTCACTGCCCTTCCCCTTCCTGCCTCCAATGAATTTGCTTCGGCCCTTGGATTTTCGGGTGAGGGCTGGTTCAATCCCCTGTTTGATCTCATCTTTGAGCCGAGCCGATTAGGTGTAGCTGGGGCGATCGGCGCGAGCCATGGAGACGCGCTCAGATGCGAGCGACAACCTGAGATTGAACTGGATGAAGACGAAGAAATGACGCATCCTATCATATCACCTCGTGCGTCGCTGGGTGCAACTCTTCATTGCTGGCTGCGAGAGAGGGGCTGGAAGTATGATGCTCCCTCTCAAGCAAATCCCCTTGAGAGAGAAAGTGAGCTTAGTTTTGGCCAAGTATGGGCTCGCTCTTTCCTTGAGTAGTAAAACCTGCTACAGCCTGCTGGAGGCCATCAACCTGGTCAGCGTGCGGAAGATGATATTTCGAAGGTCCTCTCATCAGGAAATGGACCTATGCGCAATATTTTGTGCAGGTGTGCACAAACCCTGCAGTTTTGAGCCTCCTGATTCAGGCTATGTTGCTTGGAATGGAATTGGATGGCTCAGGCTGTATAGACAGATCTGGCCGAGTTCCCCATCGACCCTGAGGCACAGGCAGAAAAGGTTCATTCCCAGTCTGCGCCCACCGACTCGGACGGAGAACTCAAAGAAGTCGCTCACTCTCGCCCTTCTTCGACCAGGAGGAACTACGTTTCTGATAGCTTTTGTCGAGCTATCTGGACGGGTGGGAAGAAGAAAATGTGGGGTTCTGCTGAAAGTCATGGACATCTACCTCACCTCTGGAACACCCAATGCTGAATGTTCAGAAGAAGCCCATTGTAAGATCCTCACTGCTAATGCTAAGTTTCCGTTGGTCCGGAACGAGAGTGGCTACTCCTTGAAAGCGAGATCTAGAAAAAGGTGTGGAACTTTCTTTTCAAACATGCTGCTCGCGGCGTCGACACGACAGAAGGCAGTGGGCGAGATGGGTCAAGCAAGGCAAAATAGTGCCTTCCCACGGTCACACATCGAAGATACGCAGGCTGAAAAGAGCGCGAACATCCCT